AGGAATGGCACAGGATAAATGCTGGGGACAGTGGGGCATCAGCACTAGGAATGGCACAGGATAAATGCTGGGGACAGTAAAGCATCAGCATTAGAAATGGCACAGGATAAATGCTGGGGACAGTGGGGCATCAGGGCTGCAGACAGTGGGGCACTAGTGCTGGGAATGGCAGTTCATTAGTGCCAGAACAGCAGGGCATTAGCCCCAGGAATAGTGGGACATCAATGCCAGGAATGGCAGAGTGTCAGTTCCAGGAACAGCAGGGAATTAATACCAGGACTGGCACAGCATCAGTGCTGGGGACAGCAGGGCAGCAGAGCCAGAAATGGCACACTGACTCTGAGGACATCACTCAGCTTGCACTGGGGATGGCACAGCGTTCAAATTGGGAATAACGAGGCTGGCACTGGGAACAGTGGGACATCCCATTTGCACCAGGGACAAGGTGCCCACCCACACGCAGGGTCCTACCTGGTCCAGCTGCTTCTGGATCTTGCTCTGCTGCTCTGTCACCAGCTTCAGCTTCTCAGCATCGGCCTCAGGGAACTCCCTGCCGGCTTTCTTGGCCGTGCGCTGCTTGGCACAGAGCGCCTTGCGGGACTTGCGGTGCGCCCCGATCTGCTCCTCCAGCACCTTCAGCTGCATCTGCAGCAGCTGCTGCGTGTGGAACAGCCACTCCTCGTACTGGCGCTGGTCAGCCTCGTCTGTGGGATGGGGACAGGGCTCAGATCAGTGGGGACCCCGGGTAAGCAGAGACGCTGGGTCAGTGGGGACCCCCAGGTCAGTGGGGACCCCGGGTCACTGGAGACCCCAGCCCCAGGGCAGGGTGAGCCCTGTCCCACACCAGCCCTGCCATGTCAGTACTCACTGATGACACCCTGTGCAAAGGTGGGTGGGTTGGGGCGAGCCTGGGTCGGGTCTGTGCCACTCCGCTCCTGCAAGAAAAGGGAGTGTTTGGATGCTGTGGATTTCTGCCCTCTCCCCACAGACTCCATCCCCTCAGAGAGATATAAAACCAACAGTTCTGGCCTGCCAGCCCCAAGAGACACCTGTAGACCCCACTCACCTGGCCAGTCCCTGCCAGTAAGTGGTTCTGCATCTCAGAGACAGCCGGGCCCCCCGAGAGCCGCTGGGCCAGCAGGGAAACCTGTTGCCTTTGGGGGGGACACACACAGAGATGAGCTGTGAGCCAGAGCCAAAGCAACCTGTCTGCCCCACCCTGTGCCCCCCAGATCCCCTTGTCTGTTACCTGTTCATGCCTGGGGCCACCCCGATGCTGCCCTGAGCCATCACCTTCTTGATGCCCTTCAGTGCCACCATCTTGGCCTTGGCAATGGGGTCCATGATGTCCTCAGCTGCAAACTTGTCCAGGTCTGCTGGGACAGAGATCACAGCACGTTCAGCCCTATGCTCCAACACCCAAAAGGGCCTCGTGCTCCCACAAAAAAATCCCCCCCAGCCCCTACCTGTGTCTGGGAAGAAGCTGTTGGCCAACTGCTGCTGCATGACGAGCTGGGGGGGCTTCAGGCCCAGGCTGGGGGGCTGCACCCCGCCCATCGNTGGAGACCCCCAACCTCCCTGAGCATTTTAGGCATGGAGACCCCCAACCTCCCCGAACATTGTAGGCATGGAGACCCCCAACCTCCCTGAGCATTTTAGGGATGGAGACCCCCAACCTCCCTGAACATTGCAAAGATGGAGACCCTCAACCTCCCTGAACATTGTAGGCATGGAGACCCCCAACCTCCCTGAACATTGCAGGCATGGAGACCCTCAACCTCTCTGAACATTGCAGGGATGGAGACCCTCAACCTCCCTGAACATTGCAAAGATGGAGACCCCCAACCTCTCTGAACATTGCGGGGATGGAGACCCCCAACCTCCCTGTACATTGCAGGGATGGAGACCCCCAACCTCCCTGAGCATTGCAGGCATGGAGAACCCCAACCTCTCTGAACATTGCAGGGATGGAGACCCCCAACCTCCCTGAACATTGCAAGGATGGAGACCCTCAACCTCCCTGAACATTGCAGGCATGGAGACCCTCAACCTCCCTGAACATTGCAGGGATGGAGACCTCCAACCTCTCTGAACATTGCAGGGATGGAGACCTCCAACCTCCCTGAACATTGCAGGCATGGAGACCCCCAACCTCCCTGTACATTGCAAAGATGGAGACCCTCAACCTCCCTGAACATTGCAGGGATGGAGACCTCCAACCTCCCTGAACATTGTAGGCACGGAGACCCCCAACCTCTCTGAGCATTTTAGGGATGGAGACCCCCAACCTCTCTGAACATTGTAGGCATGGAGACCCTCAACCTCCCTGAACATTGCAGGGATGGAGACCCTCAACCTCCCTGAACATTGCAGGCATGGAGACCCCCAACGTCTCTGAACATTGCAGGGAGGGGTCCCAGACCCCACAGTGTCCCACATGCCCCCAGGCCTGCAATGACCTCCCGGACTCCTTCCTGGGACACCCAGCACCAGCCCATGGCCACCTGGCCCCCCAGGAAACTCCCTGCAATCATGGAGTGACCTACAGGGACCACCATGCACCTCTACCAAAGAGTCCCTGCTCCTGTAGCCTGCCACAGTCCCATGGGTACCCCAAAACCCCTCTCCCAGCTCTGCGGGGACCCCTGCACGCCACTGACCTGTCTGAGCAGCGTCAGGAGGTCCAGCTCGCCCTTGAGGCTGTACCCTGGCAGCACTGCATCAAACTGCTTCAGCCACTCCGAGCTGCTGTCCGGCACCTTCCCAGCCAGAGCCTTCTCCTTCCCTCCGAGCATTCCTGCGAGAGGGATGGACTGCCCATCATGGGGGTCCCAGCCCGGGGACATGGGGGGCCGTGGGGACAAGGGGGACACTCACCGGCCATATCAGTCTCCACCTTCTTGGCCTCCACCACAGCTGCTCGCACAGGGCCGTCGGGGAACAGCACCTCGTAGGAGCTGGGGATCTTCATGCTCAGCAGCTCAGCCATGGCCACCATCACCCCATTGAGGTTCTAGGTGAGAGGAAGGCGGGATGGGTCCGGGGTGACACAGGTGTCACTGTGTTAGGTCACTGCTGGGACCCCAAAGGTCTGTGAATCCCCCAATCCCCTCACTCACCTTGGCAGCCGCTGCAGACACCGTCAGCATGACGGACACCTCGCTGCTCTTGCCCTTCTCCCATGGGGCTCCAGGGCCTGCTGCCCCCACCTTGCCTGGAGGAGCCCCAAAGGGCTCTGCGACCTCGTAGGGTTTTGTGTCGGGGAACACTGGTGTGGGGAGAGGGGGGTCAGAGCCGTGGGGAGCAGAGCCAGGGTCAGAACTGTGCAGACCAACAGCCACCCATGAGCCCACCCAGCTGCCCCAGATCCCTGCAGGGATTCCACCACCCTGCAAATCCTTTTCCCTCACATCCCACACTTCCCAAAGACCCTTCCCCTAGCTCCCTTAATCCCCCCCTAGACCAGGAACTCTGTCCTGCCCCATCCATATCCCTTCTCCAAACTCCCTCCTTGTGCTGCACATCCCACAAACTCCCTCCTGCCCAGTCCATACGGACCAGAGACCCCTCCTGCCCTGATCCACACATCCCTGCAGCCCACCCCACCTGGGATGCTGGCCCGGGGGATGATGGGGATGATGGGGGACAGCACACGCTCCTCCAGCTCTGGCTTGGCCTCGCTGAGCAGGGGGAAGCGGAGCAGCTCCTCGCCCAGGACACTCTCGGGGGATGAAGCAGGGACGATGCTGTCGGGGGAGTCGCTCTCATCATCGCTCTCCATCCTGTGGGGAGGGAGGTGTCAGGGGCCACAGGGCCTGGTGTCACCCATGGAGGGGCTGATGGCACTTGTGGTGGGGTCTCTCACCTGACATCCTCGGTCTGGTTGTGTGGAGGGGTGGGCAGTGCTGCCAGCAGGTCCAGGCTCTTCACCTCCACAGCTGGTGCATCTGCAGAGAAGACATGGGTGTCACCAGGGGGAGTGACAGGGGGCAGCAGCACGGATTCCGTGCCACCCCTGTGCCAGCCAGGCTCACCTTTCTGGCCGTGGGGCTCACGGGCTGGGTCGGCATCCTTGGGCTGCTCCCCCAGCTCTTCAGGGGCCGTGACACCGTTCACCATCTTCTGCTGCACGGAGGGAGGGGGTGTGGGGGGCAGCGAGGAGGGTGGCGTGGGTGGGTTGCTGAGGTTGTTCTGGGGGGAGACGGTGGGGTGAGAACAGCAGGATGGTCCAGGACCCCCAGAAAAGGGGGACAACCCCCCTCTCACCTTGGTGAGCAGCTGGGAGTAGTAGTCAGGGACGCTGTCCAGCACAGCGCTGCCGAAGGCGCCCCTCAGCTGGCTCTTCCCGTTGATGGGGCTGCTGCCGAAGGGCGCGAAGAGGCTGAAGTTGGCCATGATGGTCGGCTCAGTCAGGGGCAGCAGCGACAGCTCCTGGGGACAGAGCTGTGAGTGGAGGGGACAAGGGCAAAGGAAGCCCCCTGCCACACCCTGGCCCACAGCTGTCACAGACATCTTTCATGAAAAATCGTTTCCTTAGGATTTTTCCTCCTGAGAAGCTGAGAGGCCTCAAGGACAAAATGTAAACGTTGAATATCTGCTGCTGTAGAATGCAACAGGTGGATCTGTGATTAGTCCATGTTAAATGTTTGTGATTAATGGCCAATCACAGCCCAGCTGGCTCAGACACAGAGCCCGAGCCACAAACTTTTGTTGTCATTCTTTGCTATTCTATTCTTAGCTAGCCTTCTGATGAAAGCTTCTATTCTTTTGGTATTGTTTTAATGTAATATATATCACAAAATAATACATCAAGCCTTCTAAAACATGGAGCCAGATCCTCGTCTCTTCCCCAGTCCAAGACCCCCTGCAAACACTGTCACACACGGCCATACCTGCTTCAGCTGCTTCATGAGGGCCTCGCCAGGACGCAGCCCCTCATCCTTGCGCAGCTTCTTGCGGGACGCCGGCATCCGCTCGTTGCCTTTCTGTACCCGCTTAGGCTTGGTGGGCGCTGGCTTCCTGGCAATGGAGGGGTCCTGAGGAGGAAAAATGGGGCATGAGCAGTGCCAGCGCAGCCCCTCACCCACCTCACCCCCAGCCCAGCCTCTGCTGCTCACCTCCCGGCCCAGCAGCAGCGACTGTGGCCGTGCTTCTGTCCCAGCGCTCCGGTTCTCCATGTGCCCGTTGAGCTCGCCTGGGCTCTGAGCTGAGAGCTGCACGTTCTTGGCGCGCAGCAGCTTCTGCAGCAGCAGGTGCCCAGCCTCGGAGCGCCCACCCTGGGCCAGCAGGCTGTTGGCTTGGCTGTCCCCAGGGTCCCCATTGGCCTCTGGTTTTGCTGTCTCATCTCCATCCACCTCACACTGTGCCACTGCTGCTGCCTCTTCCTTGGGCTCCTGCTTCACCAGCACC